TATGTGTTAAGCTGAAGCAGGTTGACCAGGTAGAGTGGTTGTTCCCAACATTTCAGCTGATTTGGGGCCAACACAGGTTTGCGGCCAAACTAGGCAGGGAGGAGAGAACTGGTTGCTAACAGGTTAAATGCCGGGTCAATACAGGTTTGATACATTAAAATATAGGATACAGGTTGGATATAATACATGATACAGGTTGGATACATTACAATACTTGATACAGGTTGGATACATTTCAATACAGGATACAGGTTGGATACATTAAAATGTATACTATAATCTCGAAATTACGAACAAGGCAAAATGCAAAATTACAAGAGAGATTTTTACAATTTTTTACAATTTCTAATAATATTTACAAATCAATTTTCAATCATAAAAATTACTTAAGAAGATCAATTATTTGAACTACTAAGATTTAGCAGGATAAATTTGCTAATCTCATTCTTGTGAGTAAAACTAGAGGAGCTACGAGGTCGCAAAATAATCTAGAGCTTCTCATTCTGTGTGGTTTACAATCTACATGCAGTGACAGAAATTCAATGAATTAACGCATGAATTACAAACTGATGAAAAATAAAACCATATTTGAAAGAATTGCAACTTTTGTTAAGGAAGCTTTTTTTGTGTAATGTCAAGAATAATTTTTAGTATGTAAATAGGATTGAATATTTATCTGAAGACTGGAGAATATTTTTCCACAACAATAGTTTTATAGCTCATGAAGAATCCTTGTACATTTCTTTCTATCTTTTTCTTTTATTCTGTTTTTTAAAATATGCTTATAAATTATTTATTACATTCTATATTTGTATTTGCTCACTAGAATCTACCTAGGAGGCCGGGACTGATTCATTTGATGTACCGTCCCTGTTTGCCTTATATATTGTGTATGTCACGTGTACTGTACTGCTTGCTCTAGCTGGTTACAAATCGGTTCGGTACTTGAATTGAAACGGAGTTTACAGTGGCTAGGTGTGTGGGGGTTTATCTATCTTTCTGTTAGGTATATTTTCTAAATCTATTCCTAGGTATCTTATTTTTATAAGTAGGTATATTTCTACTATTCTATATATCTTTATATCACTAAGGTCTGATTGTCTACGTTTCACGGTGGACTAACCCAGTGGGGTCGGTCAAATGAACTAGGATTAGGCCGGGTACTGTAAAAAGTCTGAACGCGCCATTGGAGTTGTCATAGTTATAGCCCTCGCACGGGACTATGCCAAGAAAATTGACCCCTGTCGTATGTTAGTCTGGTTAGGGCAACGTACTGTACCATAGGATCGGGTCAGTACATACACGCTGTTATCTGGCAGACCGGTACAAACTGGGCAGGTCCTGTTCGAATTCAAATTTACTACGGGGATAGAGTGGTTTAATATACTTTATCAGACTAAGCGTTTAAAGGGTAATGGTTGTTAATCGGACATGGCACTCTCTCAATGGGAGGTCACCTGAAACAACGTTAACAGACCCTTTAACAAATATAGGTTTGATTGTGAGCATGATTACAGATTAAATGCTGGTAAAGGAAGCTGCAATTAATTAATTGTTAATGGTATCTGTCATGGTGGCCTTCAGGGACGTATACAAGAATTTGCAGGGGGGGGGGGGGTAGATACCACTTTCCCCACAAATATCACTTAGATTTTATGTCGAATTACTTCCCTATTTGCACTGGAAAGTGATCATAGAGCTGGTAGCAGGAAAATTTACCTATATCCAACTAAATAAGTATTTTTTGTCTCATTTTTACGAAAAAAAAATCTCCAAATTGAATGCACGCTTGTAAAATCTAATTAAAATGTTTTCCGTAGAAGTGTATTTGAGAAGGATTTATTATTCCCTTGAATGTTTTTTAAAACTCACCAAATATGTATTTCTTTTTTTAAACATTTTTTATATTATTCTTACAAATATTTAGATTTTCGGGGTTTTTAAAGATAAAGGTAATACAATACAGCATTTTAAATCGCAGGGTTACCAAGCTCAAAATTACTTTTACAATCACGTAAACAAAATTGCATTCAAATTGCAGTAGCAAACATGTATTTTATATATAGACAGGTGACATTTCATGTCTCATAAAATGGACATTTCAGAAAATAATTTTAAAGAAAAGAAACCTAAAAGCTCAAACTACGTAGACATTTACTGGTATATCATGAAAAATAAGAAGATATTATAAATATAATACATTCATCATTATTCAAAAATCATATGAAAATTATCTCTATGTAAAAATACTTTGTCTATAAAAATACTTCTCAGAAATGTCTTATCTATAAAAAAACCTATTTATAAAATGTCCTGTCTGTAAAATTTCCTATCTATAAAATGTCTTTTCTTTAAATTGTCCTATCTATAAAATATCCTGTCTGTATAAATGTCCTATCTATAAAATGTCCTGTCTGTAAAATTTCCTATCTATAAAATGTCTTTTCTTTAAATTGTCCTGTCTATAAAATGTCTTTTCTTCAAAATGACCTGTCTATAAAATATCCTGTCTTTAAAATGTCCTATCTTTAAAATGTCTTCTCTTTAAATTGTCCTATCTATAAAATATCCTTCTATAAAATGTCCTGTGTTTAAAATGTCCTATCTATTTTCTTTTTATGACTATGAAATTTCTTCTATGAAATACCCTTATGAGGAAAATGAGGAATATGAAAAGTCTTAATGTATAGCTGTCATGTACACTGCAATAATATTTCTGGAATATATTCTATCAATAAATTAATTAATTATTGAGGATATTAATATTACTTGCTTCCTCGTTAAGGGAATAATTAATTTTCTCCACAGTACACATTTATAGACAGCTGGGTTAAGGCTTTCTACAACGTATTTAATCATTCCCCCCCCTCCCCTCCACACATTTCCTGAAAGTGTTTCATTTAAAAAGCATAATAAGTGATTTACCAAAATTAATGTTTGAAATGGGAAAAATGAAAATTAAAAAACTATAAGAGACAATAAGACAATCAATGTTTGAAATGGGAAAAATAAAAATTGAAAACTATAATAAGACAACAAGACAATTAATGTTTGAAGTGGGAAAAATAAAAATTGAAAACTATAATAGACAATAAGACAATTAATGTCTGAAGTGGGAAAAATAAAAAATTAAAAAACTATAATAGACAATAAGACAATTAATGTTTGAAGTGGGAAAAATGAAAATTAAAAACTATAGACAATAAGACAATTAATGTTTAAAGTGGGAAAAATGAAAATTAAAAAACTATAGATAATAAGACAGTTAATGTTTGAAGTGGGAAAAATGAAAATTAAAAGCTATAGGCAATAAGACAATTAATGTTTGAAATGGGAGAAATGAAAATTAAAAACTATTATAGACAATAGGACAATTAATGTTTGAATTGGGAAAAATGAAAATGAAAATACTATAGACAATAAGACAATTAATGTTTGAAGTGGGAAAAATGAAAATTAAAAACTATAGACAATAAGACAATTAATGTTTGAAGTGGAAAAAATGAAAATTAAACACTATAGACAATAAGACAATTAATGTTTGAAGTGGGAAAAATGAAAATTAAAAAACTATAGACAAGATGACAATTAATGTTTGAAATGGGAAAAATGAAAATTAAAAACTTTAGACAATGAGACAATTAATGTTTGAATTGGGAAAAATTAAAATTAAAAAAACTATAGACATTAAGACAATTAATGTTTGAAGTGGGAAAAATGAAAATTAAAAAAAACTATAATAGACAATAAGACAATTAATGTTTGAAGTGGGAAAAATAAAAATTAAAAAACTATAATAGACAATAAGACAATTAATGTTTGAAGTGGGAAAAATAAAAATTAAAAAACTATAATAGACAATAAGACAATTAATGTTTAAAGTGGGAAAAATAAAAATTAAAAAACTATAATAGACAATAAGACAATTAATGTTTGAAGTGGGAAAAATAAAAATTAAAAACTATAATAGACAATAAGACAATTAATGTCTGAAGTGGGAAAAATAAAAATTAAAAAAACTATAATAGACAATAAGACAATTAATGTTTGAAGTGGGAAAAATAAAAATTAAGAAACTAAAATAGACAATAAGACAATTATTGTTTGAAGTGGGAAAAATAAAAATTAAAAAACTATAATAGACAATAAGACAATTAATGTTTAAAATGGGAAAATAAAAATTAAAAACTATAGACAATAAGACAATTAATGTTTGAAGTGGGAAAAATAAAAATTGAAAAACTATAATAGACAATAAGACAATTAATGTTTAAAATGGGAAAATAAAAATTAAAAACTATAGACAATAAGACAATTAATGTTTAAAATTGGAAATAAAAATTAAAAAACGAAAGACCAAAGCAAAAGTTATATTCATATTCACAATATGCCCCATACTGTTAGAAAATATGGAACTGTCGAAAGTATTTCGAAGTCAATGAAAGAAGAGGGAACTTTTGTATTGGATACTCATATACCGATTTCTTGATCTCGATATCCACTATGAACACATTAAGTTTGAGATCATTGCTTAATCTCTTAATTTCAGTTACTCCTCCCATGATCAAAGCTCCCTTAAACTGCTGACTGGGTACGATTAACATGCGGGATATCGATTATGTAGATTAAATTAATCTTCAGATTAATAAGATCGAGATCATACATTGAACTTGATATAAAAAAATATAAGAGTTCCCAGTACAGAACGTGATTTTACAAAGAAATTGAGTGTTTACAAACAACTCAAATTTTCGCATCCCTATGTCTTTGCAACCTGTTGGGGAAAACCTTTAATATTTCAAAATTAAACTATTTGATCAAAAATTATTCATACTATGAAATTCGGATGATTGGGTTGAAAAGATGTAAGGCTTAGAACTCTGAGTTTGTAGCAAAGTCTCAATTCCTTTTACAAATTTAACATTATGTTAAGTTCTAACAAAATTAGAATATCATGAGCTCTTTGTTTCTGATTTGTATAAGGTTACAAGTTAGTTTACCGATTTATCTCCAAGGTTGAGTACAGTACAGACTAGCATCACGGTCTCCCCTTGTACAACAGTCAGGTTTCCAGAGGATAAACTTTCTTCAATCCTAACCACACATCATATATGTCAAGCTAGTACTCATTTGAAGTATGAGACTGACTTTAAATCAGAGCTATAAATTGTACTGCACGCATATAGACTATAGACTGCAGAACGGGACAGTACATTTTCTTTTTTGGGAATATTGCAACTTTTACAGAGGAGCACTGGGCATTCAGGTCCATTCAACGTCTAATCAACATTGTCATGCAAGCTACATGAAGTCCCTTTAAGATGGAAACTTTATTTGATGAAAAATTAACTTTTAGATATCGTTGATGAGATTGAGATGTGATATGGGACTGGAGGACTGGAGACCCCTACTGTTGAATACTCCTCTACTAGTAACCAAGAATTCTCATGATTAAAAATAAACACAGAACCTTCCCCAACTCCTTCCAACATTTATATTCCTTACACTCTGTATGTTCATAGTATTGTGTACAATATATACTGACAGCTCATAAACCCCTGTTTACTTTATTGCAAGAAAGCAAAGGAGAAAGAAATACTGAATATCTTGAAGGTTTCCAGACGGGTCAAACTGAAATATTATAAACTTTTTGACCGACTACATTAACACATTAAAACTATTTAAAAATTGTAAAAAAAATATAAAATATTTTCCTTTTTCAGTTATGAAGGGAGGAAAAAAATGGTTCCGATTCTCTCACTTCGAATTTGTTTTAATTTATAATTAGCCTAGCTTTTGATTGTTTGGATTTGTAAAAAGCATATCAGATATTATAATAAAAACCTCTATTTTTAAATCAAGAAATTTTATTGACTGCTCGAAGCACCCCAAATGCATGATTAACGAAGCACTTCCATTAAATACGGCGCAGAATTAAAATTGTTGACAAAGCAGACATATTTTCGTATATCTCATAATCTCTTTAGCGTTTAAGTTTTTTGTAAAACGTATTTAATGACAAATATGAAATGAACCGTTCGTGATAAAACATTTTGCCGAAAACGTTTGCTATAAAATGTATGATATTTAACGTAATGTATTGAACGTTTTTTATAAAACGCATAGTTTTGACATTTATGTGTAAAACATATTGTTTAAAACGTATCATTTACAATAAATATTATAAAACCTATATCATTAAACGTATTGATATAGCGTATGTTATGAAACGTATTTACATTTAAAACAAATATTATAAAATAATATTATAAAACGTAAAACGTATTGTATAAAACGTATTGTATAAAACGTTTGTTCTAAATTATGACTATATGAATTCCTGGTTTCTGAAGAGACTCCTGCACTGCTATCACTTAGAGCCAGCATATCTAAATAATAAAATTACTCACCAGGTTTTACATTAAAGCATTTGAAAAAAGTCCTAATTTTTTTGACCAAAAAGTCCTGATGACTTTTTAAGCAAAGATTTTCTTTCCTGTTACAGTAATATTTCATCAAAGACTTTCTTAGATAGACTCATTTTAAAAGAGAGAATTCTTAGAGCGATGTAAAACGTCAATGTCCCAATTTTATCCTAGCTTAGTAGATATCTTTGTAAAGCTGTATAGTGTATTGTGTATCCGGATAGATAATGATTCCACTTAGTTAAAGTTGTTTTAGTAAATAGAAAACCGGAAGTATAAAGGAAGGTTCTAAATGTTTTAGTAAATAGAATACCAGAAGTTTAAAGGAAGGTTCTATATGTTTATATAAATAGAATACCGGAAGTATAAAGGAAGGATTTATATGTTTTAGTAAATAGAATACCGGAAGTATAAAAGTAGGTTCTAAATGTTTTAGTAAATAGAATACCAGAAGTTTAAAGGAAGGTTCTAAATGTTTATATAAATAGAATACCGGAAGTATAAAGGAAGGTTCTATATGTTTTAGTAAATAGAATACCGGAAGTATAAAGGAAGGTTCTAAATGTTTTAGTAAATAGTATACCAGAAGTAGAAAGGAAGGTCATAGATGTTTTAGTAAATATAAAACCGGAAGTATAAAGAAGGTTTTAAAATGTTTTAGTAAAAAGAATACCTGAAGTATAAAGGAAAGTTTTAGATGTAATACTAGTAATAGAAAAGAGGATTCTAGATGTTTTAGTAAATAGAATACCGGAAGTATAAAGGAAGGCTCTAGATGTTTCAGTAAATAGAATACCGAAAAGCGTATCATTAAGGTTTTGGATGTTTTAGTAAATAGAATACCGGAAGTACAAAGGAAGGTTCTAAATGTTTTAGTAAATAGAATTCCGGAAGTATAAAAGAAGGTTTTGAATGTTTTAGAAAATAGAAAACCGGAAGTATAAAGGACGGTTATAGATTTAAAAAAAAATAGAATAGATAAACGTATTTTCTAGAATCTAAATGATATAGATATATGTATTATCTAGAATCTAGATGATAGATATATGTATTATCTAGAATCTAAATTATAGATATATGTAGTATCTGGAATCTAGATGATAGATATATATATATTATCTAGAATCTAGATGATATATATATGCATTATCTAGAATCTAGATGATATATTTATGTATTATCTAGAATCTAAATGATATATATATGCATTATCTAGAATCTAGATGATATATATATGTATTATCTAGAATCTAAATGATAGATATATGTATTATCTAGAATCTAAATGATAGATATATGCATTATCGAAGTTTAGTTTTCCTATTCCGTATGTAAACTATCCCTGGCCAGTATTTGTTTTTACAAAACTTTACAGGGAAAAGTTTTATTTATACTTCGATATTTCCAATACATCTTAGACAGATTTAGATCTGTATATCTGTATAAGCAGCTTAGATCGTTGAAAAAACATATACAGTAGGGTTTTATATCCTTGATGTTCATTTTCCTTAAAGGGACTTGTGCCACGTAATATAAAGTAAACCTCGCTGTAAATACTTTATTCACAACGATTCCCTTTAGACCGTTGTCAAAGCAAAAGATGAAAACATATGTGTTTGATCATTTGTTCTTTTACCTTAAACAGGTTGGGGGAGGGTGTTTGGCGCCCCCCTGTATTTTTTTTTGTCCTAGCACTCTCATTTTTGACACTATCACCGTGAAATTTTATGACTTAAAATGAATAGTAATTTAAAGGATTTTTTGTTTTAAAAAGGTCCAGTGTGTGAAAAAAATCTAAGATAGCTCATAACTTTTTTGTGACTAAAGCTACAGATCTAAAAACTATATTTTTGAAAAGCCCTTGTAAAATTCAAATAGAAACATGTGTCACACTTTGATGTTTGTTTAAAACAAAAAAAAATATTTTAACACTTTTTTGACCCTTTTTCAGGTATTTTTTTCTACCCTCCCTAGCACCCAAACTAGTAAAGTTATCGGTCTAATTTATTTTCTTTGAGCTGGCCATGAAAAATTGGGCTATGAACATGCATTTCAACCCTATACCTAATCTCTAAGTCCTTTTTTTGGAGTGGCCGTGGGACGCCTCACCCCCTCCCCACCCCCCCCCAGGATATACATAGATTCAGACCCCCGGCCTGTATAGGGTTAAAGGATTTGTAAACGTAATTTTTAGTGACCCTTCATTTTGATTTACAACAGTACTCTTAAAGCTCTGTTTTAAATATGAATTTATATCCATGTTATTTTTTTTCTGATCATGTAAAATTGCATCAAAGACAGGGAAGAAAACTGAAAAAAATGTCTCTTTAAATTCTGGTAAAGCGACGATATCTCTTATATCGTTACTCGTATTAAAGGGACTGTAAAAGAAAAATGAAAGGGGGTATAGGATGAAACCTGAGAATCTGAGGTCTGAAATTAAACGACGACATCCCACAGGAGCGCACTACAGGCTAAAGCGTTATACAGCGTACTTCAGCTTACTACAGCATACTACAGCGTACTACAGCGTACTTCAGCTTACTACAGCGTACTTCAGCTTACTACAGCGTACTACAGCGTACTACAGCGTATTATAGCATACTACAGCGTACTATAGCGTTATGCAGCGCACTTCATCTTACTATAGCGTACTACAGCGTTATACAGCGTACTACAGCATACTACAGAGTTATACAACGTACTTCAGCTTACTGCAGCAAGCTACAGCGTACTACAGCGTTATACAGCGTACTTCAGCTTACTACAGCATACTACAGCGTTATACAGCGTACTTACACATAAGGCAGAGTACAACGTACTGCCTAGTCTATCTCGATTGAAAACCAATTTCCAATGGACATATATAGAATAGATATTAGATATTGATAGTGAGATAGATAGATAAATATTGGCTTGGATAAAAGATTGAATGTAAATGAAAGCTCCTGGGGCCATAGAGTTCCCAGAATATATGTTGGGTTCAAATATCAATATCCTAGATAAATATACCCCATGGCATGCTTTAAATATATAATTACATGTATATTAAGTTGGAAATAGATCATCATTCGGAAAGTTACAATAGACTTAAGTTAGTTTCTTTAATCAAAAGCCTTTAAGCAGTCTAAAAACGTTTATTGGACACGAACAGACAGACATCCACACAAATAAACAGATAGACAGACAAGCAAAGTACATAAATAGTATTTATTCATTCTTTAAGTTTGGAAAACAGAATCGTACTCAGTTTGTTTATAAAACTAATATTGTTAAAACATTCATTCTAATTTTGGGATTATACCAGAGGCTAAACCTTTTAGTTGGGATAGCGCTTAGTCGCATAGATTAAACTTGACTTTTACAATGTGAACTTGGAATTGAAGGGTTTATGTTCAATTCGAATAAGGTAAGATAATAACCGGTGAAGGAGAACAGACTGAACACGTTATGAACATATTAAAGGAGAACAGACTGAACGTTATGAACAGATTAAAGAAGAACAGACTGAACGTTATGAACAAATTAAAGAAGAACCGACTGAACACGTTATGAACAGATTAAAGGAGAACCGACTGAACGTGTTATGAACAGATTAAAGGAGAACCGACTGAACACTTTATGAACAGATTAAAGGAGAACAGACTGAACACGTTATGAACAGATTAAAAGAGAACCGACTGAACACGTTATGAACAGATCAAAAGAGAACCGACTAATCGCGTTATGAACAGATTAAAGGAGAACAGACTGAACGCGTTATGAACAGATTAAAGTCCAAAAGTTTGACCTCAAATAAAAGTAAAACGATTAAATGTAAATATAATTATGTTTACCTGTTGATGTTAACATAAAGAGTAGAAGAAGAATCATTTTTACAGGGTTGGGATGGGCTCAGATATTTATTAGATCAGATCAAAATAGATGCTTCTCGTTGGATCCAGATACTTCTGGTTGGATCCGGATACTTCTGGTTGAATCCGGATACTTCTGGTTGGATCTGGATACTTCTGGTTGGATCCAAATACCTTTGGTTGGATCCAGATACTTCTGGTTGGATCCAGATACTTCTGGTTGGATCCGGATACTTCTGGTTGGATCCAGATACTTCTGGTTAGATCTAGATACTTCTGGTTGATTTGAGATACTTCTGGAGTGGTTGGATCCAAATTCTTCTGGTTGATTTCAGATACTTCTTGTTGGTTAAAGAAACTTCTGATTGGATCCAGATACTTTTGGTTGGATCCAAAAAAGATAATTCTGTTTTTCTTATATCACACTTCGATCTTGTCTCGGGATAATTTTAATTCTGAAAGTAAAAAAATATAATTTCTATAGTTCCCGAATAAATGTGCAGAATGCAGAATGGTTTGAATAAAATTTTACTAAATTAGAATGTTTGTGAATTTTGAATTGATTAAACATTTATTTTACAAAATTCAGACTAATCCATAATTCATTTCCAACCAACCAAATACATTTGGGAGAACAAAATTGCCGGGATTAGTTTTTTAAAAAGTGAAATTTTGTTTGAAATAAGCAAAAAAACGGAACGAAGGAAACAAAACGAAGATGAACAATGTTAACCCTATACAGGCTGATGTCTGGTTTACCAAAACTAGTCGTGGGAGGGGGGTTCCTCTATTTCCTTATTGTAATGGATATCTATAACTTTTGATACACTTTTGGAAATTCCTTGGGCTCTACTAAAATAATTTGCAAGAAATTAGCTAAATTTCCAATATTTATTGAAATATCAAGTTTCAAGCAAAAATATGCTAAAAGAAAAAGTGCGCGAAATATGATAAATTATACATTTTTTAAAAGCTTTTACGACGGCAAATTCAAATATGCAAGAATATAATTTTTAAAAATTAAATTTGTATTTAGTGAAAACTGAAAATGTGCAAATTAGCTTTAAAGGCATCTTTGCAAAAATCTATACAAAATTTTTGCAAAAAGTGTGCAATCGGCTTCCTTTTCTTCAAGGCTTTCCAATAAGCTATAAAAAATCTAAAGCCAATGTCTGGAAGGAGGTCTAAATATAGATTTAGTCAGGTAAATTTAGAATAAGACATTCAGTCAGTATGCCTGAGGACTTAGACAGTAGGAATAAAAGCCCCGCTTTGAGCCTAAAGTTAGGGGCATTTGTTAGTTGAATAAATGATGATATTTTGATTTTAAAAAGTGTCTGGTAGCGAGGGTAACGAGAAATTGAAAAAAAAATAATTGAATAAATGTTGATATCTGTGATTCAAAGGAATCAAATAAGTCGAAGACACGTTTCAATTAACTATTTTTTTTGAGATAAACCCTCTCGTTAGTACAATATATGTATTTATTAATTGGACAAAGTACGTGAACTATGGTCTATTTTTTTTTTAATCTTTTAGTTTTCGGAGACAAACGTTATTTGGACATTAAAGTAAATATTGAAAAGAAAGAGATCAAAGGAAATTGAATCTTTGTCACAAATTAAAATTTTATTATCCCTATATCTTTGCAACCTTAAATTATTTCAAACTTAAGAGTATTTTACCTAACATTAGTCATAGTCTGAAATATCTACCCGGATAGAATCTTAGAGTCTGAAACCTAGTCTTAGACGCCGGGCCGACCTCCTCAGACCCTCTGTTTTTGGAAAAAAATATCAAATTTCA